GAGGAAAAAAGGCAGAAAAAGAAACTGATGGGAATAAACTGACGGAAAAATTAAAAAAAGCATCATTGCTAAGCAGACGCGTGCACAGCACTTCCAAGTTGTGCTTTCTCTAAGAGACAGACATGAGCTCAAAACGTCATCTTCCACCCTGGCCTGGCTCAGTGGTTGAATATCGACCTAGGAACCAGGAGGTCATGGTTCAATTCCCTGTCAGGGCACATGCCCGGGTTGCAGGCTCCATCCCCAGTAGGGGATGTGCAGGAGGCAGCCCATCAATGATTCTCTCTCATCATTGATGTTTCTATCTCTCTCCCTCTCCCTTCCTCCCTGAAATCAGAAAGACTGTGTGTGTGTATATGTATGTGTGTGCATGTGTGTATGCATGTATGTATGTGTGTGTGCATGTGTGTCTGTATGTGTGTGCATGTATGTGTGCATGTGTGTGTCTATGTATGTGTCTCTCTGTGTGTATGTGTGTGTGTCTGTATGTGTGTATGTGTATGTGTGTGTGTGTGTGTATAAATTAAAAAAAAAAAGACGGTGGGAAGCCTTCTTCCTCTGTAGCCTTGTCTGTCCCACACTCTCACGGGGCCCCTGCAGGCCCTACCCCAGCCCTGCCGGTGATGGCGGTGGGCCGGCACAGGGACCCGGCTCCCTCTTCCCGCCAGCTTGCAGGTCTTACCCGAGTGATGAAGGGAAGGCTCCCTTCCCCTGTGGGAAGGATTAGGTAGCTCCGGCCCCTAAGGAGCCCAGCTCCATGGACACGGGGCAGACAGACAGGACAGTAATTACCAAGCATTTGTGTTGGGAGGCCCCCTGCCCACCTTGGTCCTCCACAGACTCAGGCTCTCAGGTGAGCCCCGAAGATGGCGGCCCCTGGTCTTTCCCAAGAGGCACAAGGCCAGGCCTGGGGTCCAGCCGGAAAGCTGTCTGATTTCCCCCGAACACCAGCTGCTCCCGGGCTGTGCGCAGTCACACCGTGTTCTGTGGGGGACAGGCAGCTTTCACAGCCTCACACTGCGGCGTGGAGGCTTTGAAGGCAGGTAATTAGGTGACAGGGACACAGCCAGGAGTCGGCCAGGCTGAGGCTTCCTGAGCCGTTTAATTTTCGGCACTGGATGCAGAAGTCAGAGGCGTCCTGTGCTTCTGTCCTCTGTTCTAGAAGTAATGAGCAAAGGCT